TATATATATATATATATATATATATATATTCCTTTGCAATTTTTGTATAATTACTGCTCTAAACCGGTTGCTCCCTCAGCTAAAGGCATGTTTTAGGGTCTGCATGCTCCAGTTAACGATTAATCGATTACAATATTAGTTGACGATTATTACAATAATCGTTTAATCCGATTAATTGTTTCAGTCCTCAATTTAACCCCAATTAATAGGGCAAAAGTTTACCCTTCAAAACTTTTAATTAATACCCTTAAAACTGTATCTAAATTTTTTCACAACCACAAACTACGAATTATTTGATTGAGATCTAGTGTAAAACAAAATGTATAGATCTGCAATAGCCATAAAACCACCTGAAAAACACCATCTGCAGAGTTAAAACATGGTGATGGCAACATCATGCTTTGGGTTTTCAGAGCTCTTTACTCTGATGTCCTTTAATAAAACATTGTCAACTGACTGCATATAGAGCTAGAGCTCTATTGTTCAGCGAACCCCGGTAGTGGCTGCATCATGCTGTGGGGAAGCTATAAGACGGTTTAGATAAACACATTGTGTTAAACTGGCTCAGGCTCCTGTTCTGACTTTAAAAACTCCTGTTCAGAGTAACTCTCGAGCTAATCTGACTGAGATTAAACACTTAGTAAAGAGGAACGGATAAAACTTGGCAGAATTGCCGGTAGAGACATATTTTCCTTCTTCAAATCTAAAACACTGTGCAAGCATGTTTAAGGTGAATTGACATTTTAGTAACTAAAACCTGGATTTTATAACTGTCGGCTGTTTTAATGTAAAGGTGCAAAGCTCTTGATAGATGTTTTTTAGGCAGATTTCTTCCTTTTTGACTCTGTGACTGCAGCACTGCTACATAAAGAGCCTCTACTCCAGGCCTGCCTAAAGCATTTGATAATGAACTGGAGGAAAAGTAATTCTCTGCTGTGATACAAGGTTAGCTGCCTGCCTGCAAGGCGTACAACTTAATTAGTAACCACTGAAGAGTCATGTACTCACCTTGGCAAAAGCCAACAGAAAACCTCAAACTGCTACATGCTTACTTTTTATAAAAAACTATTTCTGTTTATTTAAGCAGGCAAACATGGGGATCAATGAAAGTGATGCGTTTCTGCAGTGAAAGTAACAAGTAAAAGTAACAAACCAACCTGTACAGGTGATGACTATGTCCACTTGTCTGATGACTTCATTGAGTTTCACCAGTCTGAAGCCATCCATGCTGGTTTCAGAAAAAAAATTTAGTCATTGCATTTCAAACTTCATAAATAAGCAAAAAGATTAATGAAAACAAAAGTTACCAGGCCTGCAAGGCACAGATTGGGTCAATCTCTGTGACGTAGACGATGGAGCCCATTGCTTTGAGGGCAGCGCAGCAGCCTTTTCCAACCTGAAGATGAGAGGTTCAGGAACTTACTGTTTACACATCAGATTTAAAAGGTATGGTGGGGCATTTTCGTGAATTTTTGAAAAGACCCGCCCTCTCCACTTAAAAAAAAATGCACATGCACAACCTTGTACCTGCTCCCGAGAGGGAACGGCTATTAAACGCGTGCGTTCTCCTCATGCGTGCTCTGTTTCAAAGTTGCCTTTCTTGTAGCTCATTCAAGCTTACTGTGTCCACACGTTCGCCCTAACCCCTAAATCCCTCAATCACCATATAGAGCGAGGACTCTATAGTGGACTTTATAGCAAACTCAGTTAACTGACCGCTGGGAGAGATGATCACTGCTTTCTGCTCCTCATTGATCACGTAACTCCTCCTCCACCGCATGGTGTCTGCGCAATCTTTGTTATTAGTCGCCATTGTCCGGTAGTGACAGCTGGCTGCTCTGACAGCCAATCCCATAATGCTTTGTGAGGAGAGCTCTCTGCGCAAAGCATTGCGGGATAAATCTGCCTTTTTTGTGGCCTTTCTTTTCTTCTCATACACTTTGTAGACACTTTTAAGGTGAGCTTCAACGACTGTCTGAAACTGTAGCTCACCACAGATATACGCCTGAAAATGCGCATGTGCAGAAAAAGATAGCTAACACGTAGGATGCCGTTATGTAAACATATCACCAGAATGATTGACGATTAGGATGACATCATATTATGATTGACCTGGAAAAACAACATCCTCCACTATACCTTTAAGCAAAGCACTGACATGAACACATATGGCTTTAACAGAGCTGTAAGCCTTACCTCTCCGTATCCACACACCACAACCTGCTTGCCTCCAAACATCACATCAGTGGTCCGCTTCAAGCTGAAGACAGAGAAACTCACTTTGAATACAGACTAATAATTAGCTCCACTAGCTAGGAGAAAAGCCCGATGATTAGGAGTCTATCTGAGGACAAAGTGAGTTTTATACCCATCTAAGATGGATTCTCTGCAGCAGTAAAGGTTGTCAAACTTTTGTTTGGTAACGGAGTCGTTGACGTTCATGGCTGGAACACACAGCTTCCCTGCCTTAGACAGTTGGTACAACCTGAACACAAAAAATACACATTATCACTTATTTTATCTTTTCATAAATACTTAATTTCTTTTTTTTAAAGTCACAAGGCAGTTTAAACTTTTCACCACTAGGTGGCAATGTTGCCTAACCAGACTCAGCATATGCAAATGGGACCTTTATCCTGTTACTGAGCAGGTTACTGCACATTTTAATCTTTAAAGATACAGAGAATTGCTTTAATCTGCATTCATCTAAAAAAATGTGAGAATTTAAAACGATGATATAAAGACAGAGGAGCCCCACCTGTGAACACCGGTGACGCTCTCCTCTACGATGCCCTTGATCTTCTTGAACATGTTGGGGTATTTTTTATATATCCAGTGCGTCAGGTCTCCTCCGTCATCCAGGATCTGCGAGTGAAAACACAGAGTAACAAAACAAAACATCAAGAGGGAATGAAGGAGAACAGAACAAGATGGGGGAACATTCTGTTTTCTATTTTTTACAAAACGTAATGTTGCTACCATATTCGGCTGCCATCCTTCCACATTAACGCAGCGATCGATGCACCACCAGAAATCATCCTCTGACTCGCCCTTCCAGGCGAACACACTGAAGCCTGCAGAGAAGAGGAAGAAACCAGTGAAAGTTATGAAAGAAGAACATTTAGGAGGAGAAAGCATAAATTATACTCCTCACCTCCCTCTGCCAGAGCTGCTGCCACTTCATTTTGGGTGGAGTAGATATTGCAGGCGGCCCACCTGCACTGAGCCCCCAGAGCTGATAGAGTCTCCATCAGCACCTGAGAAATAGATGTGAGGAGATTTGTTTTCTGCTGGACTAAAGTCAACAGGTTTCCTTTTTATTTTTGCAGCACTCACAGCAGTCTGGGCGGTGATGTGTGTGCAGCCGACCACCTTGGCACCGGCGAGGGGTTTCTCCCCCTGAGCTCGCTTCCTCAGCGCCATCAGCGCCGGCATCTCTGACAGAGCGGGAAACACAAAGTGCACACCAGAATTAGGTTTAAAATTTAAAATAACCTTTAACCCCGACACTTGAACACTGATCCATGGGGCAGTGTTCAGGTGTTTTATAAAGCAATCATGAAAATATATCAGTGGAGTGATAACTGCAATGCTCCGCTCCAGTTAAGCGTGAGATGCAGCTTAGGGGGGTTTTGGTTTCACCTTGCTCAGCGATCTCGATCTCCCTGCGTCCAAAGTCGGCCTGTTTGATGTTTTTGATGCAGAAATCTCCGTTGCCTTTGGAGTTCTTCTGCTGCTTGTCCCGAGGAGAGGTCTCATCGTCGGAGCTGTCGGTGTATGACGCCGCTGGGGGGACAAAAGGTTTATCTTAAGCAATTCAAAGTTTTAGGAACCTAATCTAAACTCCGTTTCTAAGAAGAGCAGAGATAGAAGGGTTTTCTCATCGCCGCCCTTTTTTTACACCCTGTAATTCAGCTGCAGAGCTTTCAGGATGATAAATCTGTCTGGCATAACTCCTCTTGTTACTGAGCAACAACAGACATACAGGGAGGAGGCCAGACTTCATGCTGGGGCCGTTTTCTCAGACTTTTGATTTGCCGCTTTGCCATTTATGGTCGATCACAATCATCATCAGTCTTTTATTGTTTTTCAACAGGGTTTATACAGGAATGAGTAACTCTAATTCAATGCTCTTGCTCTTTTAATGCCATCAACAAGGCCAAAAAACTTATAAACGTACAGTTTTTTGGCCACTTTTGTAGAGATTTGCATTTTCCTATTCTCTCGATTTTTTTCCGCCTCGAGTTTCTTTTCCGAACATACGGCTTTGTCATCAATCGGAAGCAGTTCTGTGCAAATAAATTGCAATATAATATATCTGACGAAACTGTTTTTATAAACGTATTTTTTTTATTTTAAATAAAGCATTTTAAATTCCACGATAATCACACTGAATTAATTTTAATGCCAATTAAGGCCTTAATTTAAAAAATACTTGAATGACTTTTAATGATTTTTAATGACCCGTGGAAACCTAGTTCAAGCACAACTTTGGATCCTCTGTAAGCTTTTGTGTTTTAAAGCACATAGTTTTTACTTCTTTGTTAATAGAAAGACAAAGAAAAGATAATCGCTTTATATCCATCGCACCTACCAAGAAGGAGGAGAAGAAAAATGATTAATCTCAGAGCATTAAATCATTAAATTCTAAATCTTTACAGCAGACTGTAGAAACTGTAAAAGTAATTTCAATGTGGGAACAGAGTAAAGAGCCTGAAATCACCAACTAAAACCAACCAACCAACTTACTAACATGGAAAAACAAACCAAGCTGACCCTACAGAGAAAAGATCTTTATGTTCTCACCTTCAACCATGTAATAAAAAAACAAACTTTAAAGTTTATTTGAAATGCTAACACAAAGGAAGGCGTATGATGATAGCTTTACCAATAGGTTTGACTAGCATTACGCTACCTTTACCCTGATCCTCCTTAATAAAAAAAACTGCAATTAACAACCCTTTGAAGTGACCTGAGTAACTAATGAAGACATCATTTAAGATGACTCTAAATCCAGCTGATCTGTGAAGGCTTTTAAAGGTTAGACACAGCGGACACGATCAGGGAGAAAGTTGAAAGCTGGGGGCTGGGTTAGTCTGTGAAATAACATCCATTAGGAGGCCGACGGGGACTCTGAATGAGCTGCAGACATCCACAGCTACGGTGGGGAATCAATTAAAAGGAAAACGATCAGGTCTTCTCTCTAAAAACATATTAGAAGATGTTTAACCTGACTGTAGCCTTGTAAGTTTGTTGGTGCTTTCCTTCCAGCAGGAAAACAAACCAGACATGCAGCCAGAGCATCAATAAACTGGTTAGGTTAAAACATTTTTGGTGTGTGGAAATGGCCTAGTCAAAGTACAGAATACAAATTAACCTCAGAATATGTTTGACTGGTGAATTGTTCGGTCTGAATGACCGTCTGCTATTCTCCGAAGAAGAATGAGGAAAAATGAAAGTATCTTTATAAAAGTAGCTGGTAGAGACAAACCAGCAACGAAAAAGACCGGAACGAAAAGTTATTTTATTAAGCATTGATTGGAGGGGCTGTAACCTACTTTGAGTTGGTCTAAGAAAAACACATAGAGGTTTGTGGTTTTAATGTGACAAAATTTAGGAAAAGTAACAAGTCCAAATGTTCAATTGGTCAAGGAGAAATTCAAAGCACAGATGAATTCATTATGTTAATGGTTTCAATGAAGGGCCTGACTTTGGGCACACAGCAGGACCAAGCAGATTATGATAGATAGCTTTTTGGATAGCAAATAAAAGGTTATGTGAGGTGAGGTCGAAAGCTTAAGAGCAGAAAGCATAGAACATGGGAACAGGGGAAGTGAGGTTAGCCATTTTTTTAGACAGAAATGTTGCAACCATACCTCTCATTGTTCTGGGAAATAAGACAGGGGGAGGTGTACCCTCTGATTCCTAGTACTTAAAAAAAAGAAGGAGTGTTCCAAGAAAGGTCCGGGGAATCTTTCACAAAGGCACCATCACCGTTTTAATGACTATAGAGAGAAGGTTGAATGGTCAACACCGTAACACTCAGGGGGTTGCTTTGTTAGACGTTTTTTCCTATTTCATCTTAATATGTCAGCAGCTAATCGAGCTACAAACAAATCCAATCTTCTTCCTGCTGTAGCGTGGGATCAGAGATGGGATTTTAGTCTCAGATTCCAGTGAATTCCTGCAGGCCTCTCTGCAGACCACCAGCAGCTAATCCTACAACACAGAGCCCAAAGTCTGACGTGAACCACAGGGTAAGAGAGACAATAAGGACGGAGATGGTTGATAGGGAGACGGGAAAGGTTAGTGAACTATTCATCCAGGTGGGATCCACAGGAAAAGTGTTATAAAGTCAGGAATTTCTGATAAGCAGCGGGATGCTGTGACTGATTAACAGTCTGGCTGTTTGTTTACCTGAGCTGTAGCTGTCTGTGGAGGACTGGGAGATGGACCGAGACAGGGAGCGTCTGCCGATCTTAGACGGGCGCTTGTTGAACTCCTGTTTCTGGTCTGCAAATTGGATCTGCAGAGAGCACATAAAGAGAAGATTTACTATTTGATTTGTTAGGATGCAGCCAAAAACCTTCAAAATTCTGAAAACAAGTTTGCTTCTCCAATTTTTGTAAAAACAGTTAAATATAAAAAAACACTTTTTTGAAAACTACCATATATGGATAATATGGCAAAAGTAACCAAATTAACCATTATGGCTTTAAACAGAAAACTATTGATTTTTAATGCATAGTTCGATAAGGATTAGCAGAAGAAGCCAACTGAGCCAAACGACCAACACTTAAAGCTTTAGCTTTATGAAGTAGAGCTGAAACAATCAGATTAATCGGGATAAATTGATTATTGAAATATTGGTCAGATAATACAGTAATTATCCAGTTATCGAATAATCGTTAACTGGAGTATAGAGTTTTTAAAACATGCATTGGCTGACAAAGCGACCCACTTACAGCAGTAATTATAGCAAAATTGTTAAAAAAAATGTAAACATGTTGCATTAAAGATAACTAAACCTTTTTCAATGTCAGTATGTTTTACCCAGAACTCCATAAGTGGAATAGTCTGAGTATCACCTGGTTTAAATTCATAAAAAATTTTCTTTAAGGAACCTTTGGCTATCAGATTGTTAATCGGTTAAAAAAAAATAGACAGATTAATCGATTTGCAAAATAATCGTTATTTGCAGCACTATTTTGAAGTATTCAAGTTTCACTTTTTCTTTTTTAGGGCCAAAGAGCACGCTGTACGAAAACTATTATTAGATTAAATTTATAGTGTAGCGTATGTGGATGAAAAAAAAGAAAAAAAGTTTGGATAGCTGCATTGCTTGGTTTTAACCGTCACAATTAAATCAGTTAATGTGTAAAAAAAAAAAGTGCGACTCACACAAACTTATTACATATTACTTAAAAGGTTTGCATCTAAAAGTTGCAGGTTAGTCGATTTCAAAGTCTACGCCTTTTGTCTTGGTTTTGATTTTCGCTCTTAAGCATGTTTAGTAAAGAAAACTTTCATTCAACTTTTGTGAACTGGAATACCACTGAAAAAGAAAGTTTTATAACTCATGATATAAACATTTAAAGCGTGTTTTTCAGTAAATCTCAGCTTTTAGAATAAAAAGTTTGAAATCAAAACTAAAGAAACCAAAAATAGCACCTTAGGTTCCTCTTGTTTTTTCTCTAAAAAAAAAAATTAAATAAAAGGTAATTGACTTAATTATTCAAACAGAGACAAGGCCACATAAAGCAGGATAGTACTAGCTTTGGAATTAGGTCACCCTTTGCAGTCGGGTCACTAGATTGAGTTTGATCCTATCACTTTCTTTCCACTAGTGCATCAGAGCTGATAGCCAGACATCATAATTCATCTGCTGATAGTGGTTCAGAGGACAAATAGCTAACCTATTACCACAATAAACCCTGGGATAAGGAGTTAACATCTGAGTTGATTGACAGAGCCTGTAAAATATAAATAATTGTTCAATAAAATCTCCAGAATGCGGTGCATTATTTCATTCAATCTGAAAATCTGCACAAATAAATCAGAACTAAAACATAACTGAACAAATCTGCTGATGTCCAATTAAAAGACGGCCAACGCTGTCCCCATGATTTCATTTTTTTTTTTTAGTAAGCCTCCATATCCTGCATGTTCCATACAGACATGTCTGTTATGCAACATTACAGCTTGCAGTAAACAAGCGCTTAAAACACGCATGGATCAATCAGCCGATACTGAAATTGTAAAAACTCAATGTGAGCCAGTTGACCACGATCCCTGAGAGTCAGGTGAATGTCAGGGAGAGCTCCCCATTAGCTGATGACGATTCTGTCATCATTTCATCTTCTCATCCAGATCTGAGCATAAAGCATCAGGTTCCAGCAGCCTGTAAGCCTGGCTAATACAGCCATTCATCCCTCCTTAGTCGCTCTTCACACAGGGCTCAGTGCCCTCCTCCTCAGACTGATCACATGTGTGGGTGTGAAAGTGGAGAGCATAATGTGCTTCAGATTCAGATGGCCTTCAAATCTTTAAGGTTAGCTTCTTTTAAGTAGTACACCTCTTTATTTGGTGATTTTCTTCTTTTTCCTCCTACATTTAGTTCTTTTACTATTTTTTTTGGTATAAATCAGGAAGAAAAGCTTTCAAGTAGGGTTATAGAGGACTAGAACCATTATAATAACAGGGCAGACTGTTTAACCAATACAGAGCACTGCTGGCCAGCTGGATGAAAGCAAGCCCTTGCATTTCCATCCTGTCGTATCACAGCAGCACTAAGAAGCAAGTATGTTTCCTTGACCCCAAACAGGCTACAACCCATTTGTTGATCCGCTCAGTTTTATTAAATGGATGTTGCCCGGGCATAAGGACTGAAGTTGTTTTTATGAGCTCAGTGGAGTGTATCAAGAACTCACATGCTGCTTTTTGGGACAAGATTACCTCAGATTAGACTAAGATTCAGAACAGGGGGTACTGCCAGAGAGAAAACTGGGTTTCTTTTCTACTCAGTTCTACTATGTTGATGCTTTCCATCTGTTCTGTCAAATCAAAACTGCTTTTTAGTTTGTTAAAATTCAACTTCCCTCCTAAGGGAAAAGGTTTTTTCACCCTATGGTCATTGTATGCATTTGTCCTTTATAGGTCTGTTTCACCCCTTAGATCAGGATCTCCATGAAGTTAATATCAATGGGGTCATTCATTCCTGGAAAACTAGCATTCAAGCTATTTTTATTCACACTCTGAGATAAATTTAGGAATAACAGCCAGCTGTGTTTTGAGCTGAAACAAAAGACTGAAATCAGAGCATGAGGAAAATAAATCTATATCCGTTTAACTCTAAATGGGAGCCCTGAGGCGCTTTGAATCAACCATAGAAAAGAATGCTCAATAATTCACCAACACATCCACAGGCTTCATGTCCCATCTGCTTATTTAAGGCTTCATTATGCAAGTGTTTTTTAAAACTATTAAAGTACCAGAAAATCATCTAGTTGGGTGAAAAAGTTGAAATCCTTTAGGACAGAGCAAAGCATAGCTGACTGAACACAAACAACAGACCAGCTGAGCAGCAAACGACCTGCAGCACAAAGCAGGCGTCCCTTCTTGGCAGACTGGGTGAAAAAAAGGGAAAAAGAAACCCCCGGTGGGAGAAAGGGAAAGGAAAACAAACAGACGCAGCTGCAGCAGCAAATGTGATGCGATACGATGCTGCAAGGTGTTCCCCGTGACCCATTCATGGCAGACTAATTCAGGAACCGGCTCTTTAAATACAGCAAATTTTCCTGGCCTGTGGTATCATTGTCCACTCAGGGGAGTGAGCACGCTGATCCGACATGCTGCTTTTTATTTAGAAAGCTAAAATAAATGGTTTTAGGTTACTTGGAACTTTTTTCTCCTCCTAAATATGTTTTTGTTCTTAAAAAATAAATAAATAAATCCAGCAGGAACATTTAAGGACATAAGCCTGCTTTTCATAAAAACAGATAATGCAGATGTTTTCACAGCTCTGACTGCTGTAATTTTTCAATGTAGGACACAACAGCAAATATCATCCATTTAAATTTCCCTTTCCGTATATATATATATATATATATATTTTTTTTTATCATATTAAGGCATGTGGGTCAAAAATGGCACAGTAAATAATCACCTGTTTAAATAAAACAGCAACAGAAGTCCTGCAAAAACCTCTGCAGGTTAAAATATGCTAGCAGTGTTTGTTCGAAAATTCAGTTAACATAAAAGATCAACACTCGGTTTGTCATTTTGTTCAAGGTTTGGTAAGATGGCTGCACAGCTATACCGAAATGAGCAATAATGAAACCAAAATCATCTTATTAAATTGGCAAACAGTATTAGATTTAACCGTCAGGACGGACGGGCAGCTGAAATTGTAGCTCCAGCATGAAAGGTAAAGTGGTAAATTATAATACACACATTTGTGATTTGATGATGCTTCAAATAGAAAATTGGCCGATCTGTTTCGACTTCATTTGCTGCTGCTTTCACACGCTGATCAAATTATGCTTTGCTCTATTGCTGAAGTAATTTGCAACCATAGAGCAGGTAAAATAAAGGTTAGTGTTTGTAGAAAACCCGATAGAATGAAATCGCTTCCAAGATTTCACAGATATTCTAACATGCAAAGGCGAGATATGACAGAGACCACCATGCACATGACAATTTTTATTTATATATTTTTTTGCCGGGTTTAAAAAATAAATCATGGGACATTTATATTGATTTGGAATCTGTCGTTTTGGCCACAGGTTATTACAATTTAGCTTTGTATATAAAGCAGGAAAACATTTGGGAATTTGGCTTAAAGATGATTAACTAAAAATAATTAATACAAGCGGCTTTATTATTAATAAATCACATTTAAAAAAATGTTTGAACTGTGGTTTTCAATATGATTTAGCTTTCTATGCTTAAAACCTTCAATTCTTAAAAATTAATTGAGGTATTTTGAATACTTCTCTTTTTAGATTAAATAATTATTAGAAAAGATTATTAATATCTATGCAACAAAATTTACAAGACAGAGTGAAAAAATACACTTTATTCAGGGTGCACCAATGTGAGAGATTAATATTTAATATTAATATACAACTTTTTTTCACAGTGTGAAAAAAGGATCAACCCACAAATCCCTCGTCTCTGCTTCAGTCATCTCCTCGTATATTTGAACCAAAGACTTGTTAAACTGAGGAAAAACTGCATGTTTGTGTCACAGATACAGAGAACTCGACACGCAGTAAAATCCAAAAGTTCATGTATTTGAAAGCATTCCTGTCTATGGGTAAAGCCAAACGAACCCCATGAACCACATCAAAGAAGATGAAAGAGTGTCCAGAAGGGGGGGAGCGGGAGAACATTGTAATTTTCCACCTCTGTTTAAAATCTTGGGTCACTTTCACAGCATGGACAGCACACAGCTACATAGAAAATGACACACGTGTTTAATCTAGTGTGCTAACGCTCAAAATCAGTGGACAAACAGGCTGAGAG